CCTCATAGTTGTATGGCAGCGAAGCATCAGTCCAAGTGGCTGATGTACTGCTGTTGATGATGATGATGACGAATATTGCAGCGGTACAGTACCATTGCTTGACTGCCTGGTTCACAGGAATAGGGGAAATTTAAGGACGAGAATATATCGCAATTTAACAGATACTGACGGCGTACTCCACTACACTTCGGGTCATTCGAAGCAGGTTTACGCTGGGATAGCATCAGCGGTGTTCTACAGGGCACAAACCTTGTGCATAATGGAGGAGGACAAAAAGGCTGTGCGGAATGGCAATGAGCAAACTATTAAAAAGTGGTTAGTCACGGCGGCTAGTCAAACGCCAAATGCATAAAGTGCTAAACCGGCAGTCAAGACCCAAAACCGAGTGGATAGGGATGGTAGGAATTCCGTACAAGGCAATTCGGGGGGTACTAAACAAAGAAAATATAAGAGTGATCTTACAGCGAGGTCGAATGCTAGGTCCGGCGCTGGTACACCTGAAGGACCCTTCTCCCAAGGATAGGACGACTAACTGTTTTTATAGAATTAAATGTAAGGATTGTGCGCAAGTGTACATAGACCAAACAACGAGAGAATTACGCACACGAATTTCAGAGCACAGGAGACGCATTTCAAGCCCACAAAGAAACCAGTTTGAATACCTGGCAATAGTAAGAGACTCGACCGTGGTTGTGCATGCATTAGACATGGGGCACCAGATAGACTAGTAAAACGTAGAGGTCATTAAAAGGGGTATACGATCAACATCTCAACGGTTGATTGCCGAGGCGGTGAAAATTTCCGAATGCTATTTGTCAAAATATACTAATTTGTGCAATTGCCGATCATACATGTCTGTATTACCATGACCACGCCCTTGATGGTGTGTCCCGCAATGACGAGAATAAACTATTTATTTATTTATTTATTTAAATCTGACAACTGCGTGAATAGAATGGAGGGAGTGGAACTCTCTAATGCATGGCAAGCGATCTTAAACCGGCCAGCCTGACGAGCATCGGTGCATGGATCAGATTGGAAAGTGCAAACCGACTCCCACTGTCAACACTATGAGCTTATCCGTCAATGTCACGACACACAAAGGAACACATGGACTATTCCCACAGTGACTGAACCACCTGAGGTGACATCACGAACTGTTACCGTAATGACACCTTGGCTCAAGTCGCGGGTAACGCGGTTATCGCCCCTGTTCGCCATAAAATCCCACTCCAATCTCACACTAATTCACCTGATCTGACGAAGCTCTTGTGTCAAGGATGAAACGTAACCAAAACTACTATACCAACCAATTGTTTCCAAAGCACTCTGAAAACAAGCACGTTGTATTTGGGAATCAATCGCACACAAGGCGGTGGTTGGACCGTAGTCCGATCCACACACAAACTGTGTGCATGGAACCACTCTTGGAGTCTAGCACGGAAACGAGGACGGTGCATCCCGCCCCTTACAGCAACGACCAACTGGCTCCTAGAGCCAGTATAGACGAGGTGGTGGGTAATAGACAGGTAGGCACCTTGTCAACATGCAGTCACACAGGGCATGTCAAGCAGCCGCCAATGAAACAAGCAATAAAATAGGTCGAAAACACCATATGGATATGCCGCTAAGTTAGTACATGGTATAAATGGGTTATCAGCATGGCCGCGATAAATTGAAGACGGCAGATAAACAGACAAAGAAACATATGCAAACTGGAGAAAAAAGCGAAGTTGAACGCCATGCATTTAAGCGACATTTGCAATATATTAGTTTATTCAGGCAGACATTAAAAGGATATAAGAATTAAGCATTAAGACAAGATAGCAAAAACACCACCTGAAATAAAGTGACTCAGCACGCAAGCACACCGTTAGTAAATCGAATGTAGCGTACCTATAAACGCTGCGCTGGTTCTGTCCATGTTCTCAGAAGGACCCGACGTCGTTTCGATAATGGTACCGAGTGGTTGAATACTTCCAACCATATGAGCTGTTCATCGTGTTAGTCTTTCTTAACTTGAAAGTTGCCGTAACTACTAAATAAAAACAAATAAATCGCCAGCTGTACGCCATAACGGCGCTTCGCTGCCACGCGAGCACCACCAGTCGCGCGCGGGCTGAGCATGCCGCAAGAACGTCCACCACTACGCGGATTCGAACTGGTGACCTTATGGGTACAAATCGGGCGAGCAGATCACTTGGCCACCGGCCGACGTCGTAACTACTATTGACCGCACTTATCAATGGCGAAAGCAAACTGTGGAGACAGCGTCTGAACGTTTGTGGATATCTTTTGCAAAGCGACTTTTGTGGCCTTGTTATGCTCTGCAGGAAACACTCCTCCGACTTTATCGCGAAGGGGAAAGCGATTGAAGGTTGCCATAGTTCACAATTTCTATCCAACTTCGTGACCGAAATGACAATGAATAACTCTTCACTGCCTCCTTCCACTTCACATGGGTCAGGGGCTATTTGGCAGCTAAGCGCCATATATTGAGTATGCGCACAACATAGCTCTCTTTGGACCAGGCGCATCTGTTATGCAAGATACATGTATATTGCCGTAACAACGACATGCGGTTTGCTTCGGCGAAGCAAAAAGTGCAGTCACAGGGCTGGACCTCACAACCACCAGTTCTCAATACCACTGAGCAATCGAGCGGTTTACTTATCTGGGCGGCTGTATCATCTCTGGCGAAAACATCACTGAAGAGGCCACCGTAAGCAGTACTAAGGCTCGTGTGGTTTGTCAAAGCCTCGTTCACTTGTGGAGGTGGGATGTACGCTTAGCGGTCAATGGAAGAGCTTAAGACGCTGCAGTGCGGTAGGTATTACCTTACTCTTTAGTGACCAGACCAATGCTTAACGAGAATGTTGCGAGAAAGGCAGTGCTCGACCACTGATACTACTTAATAATCGTTGGGCGTTAGTGTGAGAACAGTATGAGCAATACTGAAGTCAATCGTCCGATGTTTGGTAACAAACAGAATCCCCGGCGTGCTTTTTTGTACACAAACCGCCTATAATTGCTCAGTCACGCGATGGCATGTCTTCCATGCGTTGGATGATAATACTGCGCCCAGTTGGGTAAACCAATGAGGTAGTCAATCAATGATACCGTAAAAGAGTAAAAGGTAAGGAAGCGAACGGCCGAGTTCGGTCAGTTCACATGGAACCCACAGCACCAGTAGTTGGATGCCATACGGAGTATGACGTGGCCAGGAAGTTACTGACGCTCCTCCATTCATATCCCCATTCCTGACTTTTAACAAATCCGTTTAAAGAAAATACTTCGACTTTAAAAATGTTAAGATCCTAGCATATGAAAATTCGAGGCGATCTACAGTATTTTGGAAACAATCAATCAATCGGCATGTCGAACTAGAGGCTATATATGCAGTACTACGTATGAAAGATTACCAACTTAAGCAACTAGACATAAAGAGAAAGAACGAAGGAAAAGCATGTCGACCGACGACGTCAACCGCAGAGGTACGCGTACTAACGTTACGAGGCAACGAATCAGAGGGATCGATTTCGATGGTCATGTGCCCGTCGAACGATCCGAATACAAAATGACAGCTAATCCGTCCAGATAATCACGCACATGACTACGCGATGCACACTTACAAAACACTTCGCATGGGACCTCGCCGCTCCGCTACACAATAACGCAGTAATGATGTCACCTCGGATAGTGAGGGATCATCATCACCATCAATACATATTAACTGAGGGTGAGAAATACAAAGCAGCTAAAGTGCTACAATACAAAAAAGATTACAGACTACAAAAAGAAAAAGCTAGTAATATGGTGCCAAATATAGTGTTATGCACTGGATATCAGACCGGTGCTGGAGGGGGGAGCTAAAGGGGAAGTGGAGGGAGGAAGAAACTCACAGCACAAACACCATCGGGGTCGGCTTCTCGTCATGTCAACTATCCAACCACATGTGTTCATCATGCTTCGAACCCAAGCCCGGGAGTAAGGAGACACCAATGGACGACAACTTCAAAGTGAGGATTTTCATTTCTTTTGACGAAATCATTGCTTGGCCTCTCCTCCTTCTCTTCCATTCAGACCCCGGTCGCGCAAACAACGCATGTCGCCGGAGTCGGTGTGCTGCCTTGGGCAACACGTGGTCCAGCCATCGGAGCCCAATGGTGATGAAACTGCAGCAAATCTGCAGAGCTCAGCGAACACCCCTACCAACTGAACAGCCAGGGCTACCAATATTTGCTTCGATATCACACAAAGTACTTCTTTCCTATTCAGATTGAAATATTTCTATTATGAGGATTTAGGCAAGGTGATTCAAGACGATTGCATCTATCGCAATTCGGTATAAAAATTTTAGTTGATTAACCGAAATAAACTGCCACAGATAATTGGGTACACTCCTCATGTGAATGAAAGGGTTGATGCAGTGGAGCACAAGAAAAGCGAGGAGTCGTACTGAAGATATCGTCAGATTACTTCAATACAATTACCGTCATATGTAGGCTATAGTCCAAGTATCGCGTTGTATTACGATTTGCGGGAATGGTTGCAAGCACTAATTGCAAAAAACTGGCTACGTTTGGCCGAAATTGTTCTAGAAGGCCGCAGCATCAATATCATAAGACGTACTTAGTTGCATGAGCGTGGGTTGGTAAGAATGGATATCTGGTGACTCGAAATTTATCCAGGCAAAATGCTGATAGGTTATCAATAAGAAAAAGCAACCAAAGAACATGGCAGCAGAAATAAGATACGCTGAATACGCTTCTGTAAAAGAGAATTTTTTGCTGGATTCGTCGTTTGACTCAATAGCATACAACCTAAATACAATTTAAGTAGGTGGACCACTTGCAGTATGCGGAAGGCGGACTAGATCGAATAACGGAATTACATCCCTGTCTAGTTAGGTTCCTATCTAACCAGCCAAATAAACCAAAATGATCGTGAGTGCAAGGACAAAAAATTAACTTCATTTGCAAATAATCAATGTGTCGTACCGTTTGTACCCGTGTACAAGTGCGTTCCAAGCGCTTGTCCCCAGAGGGTCGATGTGGATACTTGTACCAGACCGCGCCGGACCCATGACAAACCAACTAGAAGAGGTAAGTGAACAGGAAAATGGGCAGTATGTTACGTGATACAGCAAAGATATTGAATGAAAAGTAGACTAAAAGAAAAGGCCAAAATTTATATATGAGCTTTGGGGTACCCGCTGTCTCGCATTGCGATACGCAATTTCAATTGTGGCTTCGGTTGACTTTGAAGTCAGCCTATGCCATTCTGATCACTGGGACCGTAGCCGACCGAAATGGAAGGTTCGGTGTTGCTATCTTCTATCCCTAGAAGAGAGCAACCCTCCATGAAAAGGTCGAAATATTAAGACAGACGGGTAAACTACATCCAAAACCCAAGATACACGGACAAAGGTTCATATCTACCCAACTAGTTTGGTTCTTCGTTTACATTTTCCTAGCGGTAAGATGCTGAGTTTGAATCACTCAGTACAAGAACTAGTAGCGGTGATGATAAAAAGTCCGTTCCAGTGAAATCGAAAGTACTAAATAAACATGGTGATTAAAGATGGTGGTGCATATTTGTGAGGATGTAGGAGTTAATCTCTGAAAATGCAAAGATCCAATGAAACAAAGTACCTGGGGTATGAAAGCGTGGTTAAAGAAGTAGTTTGAAGTGGGTGAAGATGAGGATATCCGTTGGGTAAAATTACACAACTCGGAGTGAAACCTACAACGGGAAGCTGAGAAGGGCTCACCGGTGTGGTGGACGTCGTTTTGGATCGCCGAAGCTGAATAAATCTTCCGGGAAATATTTGCTAACCACGTAATCATCTAACAACCTTTTCCGTTTAGGATGCTGTACGACGTGTTAAATCATTAAATTGCCTTAAAAAAGAAGCACCTCGCCAAAATTCGCATCGAAAATATACAGTGGACTATCGTCTTCGTTTTCGCGCATGTATTGCACGAAGTACTTCATTTTCAATTTGACTGAGGTGCCTGAATCATCTTCACCGCATTTGAAACGCTGGTTTCGGTACTTTCTAGCCAGTCGCTTGGGGGAAAGCGCCCACTTAGTCAACATGTTGAACTTACGTCTAAAGTCCATTTCTTATTCGCACGCCACCTTTGTTGATCGTTTTGGATCACAACTGGTTTATTAGGTTGTTCAAAATCAGATCGAAACTGCTCAAATGCCACTTCACGTGCGTCGATTCTAGGACAGGTATCTTCGAAACTGTCGGGTGACAGATCAAACGTTTTGGCAAAGTTGCAGTGCCACCACTGGGGCGAAGATGTGCCAAGCTCTGACCTGGCTTTAAGCTTTGCAGTGTGAACTGCACGTCTGTATCGGCGAGTGTTAACTGGACGTGGCATTTGTACGCGTAGTTGTCAGAAATCTGAGAAACAGAAATAATATCATTAAACATGGTGCACGCTATGAAATGGACGAAATGGACAAAAATGGTTTACAAAAATAATCTCCTGATAAGAAACTGATCGCGTTGATCAACAGAAGCTTAGCTTTCAGCCGTGGCGTATCGCCGATTTGCTGCAAACATGAACATAAATGGAGATTTGGCCTCGTTAAAGGGGAATAAGGATAGAGAGGAGGTGTGGACCCGGGATAAAAGCAGATTGCTCCTAACAGACATTTGCAACCAAGACTTTCACAAAACATCACCACAACACGGTCAGAAGCAACTGGCTACAAAAGTAAGTAAGAACGACGCTGATTAGATAGCTTCCGTTTGAATAACACTGTCTCACGTAGTGGTCAACCATGCTTCAGTAGGAAGGAACGCAGACGGGCAATCTAGCTAGGAGACAATAATAAACGCGCCCTTATTGTGCTGTGGATGACGCTCTAGTGTTTCGGCTCCAGGATAAGGGGGGCAGCATGGATTCCAGCGTGGATGCCAAAATGACCAAAACTGTCCAATTTTATCGATAGTGACTGCATTTACCACTGCTGAGTCAATGATCACCTCCCTAGAAGATCTCGCCCTAGGGCAAAAGTCAAATACAGGCAGCTCGAGACACCATGATACAGATTATACGTTTGTGGTGTAAATACACAGAGGGATCTTAGCGAGTAGTATCTGTTACCTGTGATGAAACGCATCATCATCATCATCAACAGCAGTACATCAGTCATTTGAACTGACGCTTCGCTGCCATACAACCATGAGGACCTATGAAATAAAGAATAAGAAGAGGGAGAGAAGGGGGAATTACCTGAAAACCTTAATGCCCTAAGCAAACATTCAGAGTCAAGGCGCCTACACCTTGTGTAGACAACATACCGTCACAAACAGCTGGTTATCGTGCAAAGATAAGGCGGCATCGGCGAGACAGCTTTCTCGCGACTTCCACTGCCACGCGTCATAATCAGCCATTACCCCGCAGATAACTCAGCACCAAATACACTTTAAACGGGAAATCCGTTTAGGAGACGGCAGCAGACGCGCCACTAGTGTCGGTTGCGAGCCATGTCCTGTAAAGTCTCGAGCCAAGCACTAGGCGAGTCACGTGGACTCCAGCCCGGAAGGCGAAACGGACCAACGGCACCCAGTTTGGTCGTCAGTGTCTTCATTTCCCGCTGCCAAGTCAACTTCTCTCCACCTCGAGCCTTGCGCCACCCTACACCTGGGAGACTAAACAAGGCTCGTCTAGGTAAGCGGTGACCAAGCATACGGAGCACGTGCCCGAGCCAACGCAACTTATTCAGTGCTATCTGTTGTTCTAGGGAGCTAGCATGTTTATCACTACCTAGTACTCCCTTACGCACATCATCGTTGCGGACACGCCAGTGCCATCCGACTCCAGCAATGCCTCGCAGACAACGATGATCAAAGACTTGAAGGCGCCTCAGATCTTCAGACCGAAGCGGCCAAGTCTCACTGCCATAGAGCAGAACGGCCCTCACTGTAGCATTGTATACACGGCCTTTCAGAATGAGGGAAACTCCCTTCTGTTGCCAAAGATGCCGCAGATTCAAGAAGGTAGCTCTGGCTTTTGCAATGCGTGAGCTGACGTCAGTTTCCATGCGCCCATCATTGCTGATGCAGCTGCCAAGATAAGTGAAATGATCAACCACCTCGAGTTTCTCGTTAGCAAGCGTCAAGAGGTCACCAAGTGGCTGGTGGTCCTGCAGCAACACTTTGCACATTGAAGGTGGGAAGCGCATACCAAATAATGGGACCACTCGGGACAGGCTATTCAGAGTTGATTGTGTCGCTCAAACATCGTCGAAAAGCAACACGATATTGTCCGCATAATCAAGATCAACTAACCTTTCACCAGACAGCAATTCAACGCCTACATCGTGAGATTCCGCAAGGGAACACTCCATGATAGAATCCACGACGAAATTGAACAAAAACGGGAAAATCGGACAACCCTGACGAACGCCACTTGTGGTCGGAAAGCTATCCGATAGGACACCATAGACTCTGACGCGGCCTGTAGTGTTCGAGTATAGAGCACGAAGGATGTTCACATATTTCGTGGGAACACCTTTTCGCGCACGTATTTCGGACAGAATCGATCGATCGACTGAATCGAACGCACACTTGAAATCGAGGAACACAGCAATTGTCGATCTGTGGTATGCGTGGCGCTGCTCTAGCACATGTCGCAAACTGAATATATGGTCTATACAACCACGCCCTGGGCGGAAACCGGCCTGCTCTTCCCTAATCCGAGATTCCCGTTCCGCAGTGCGGCGACGAACGATAATCGAGGCCAGTAATTTTGGCACAACTGGCGTTAGGCTAATACCCCTGTGATTAGAACAGTCTGTACGACTGCCCTTCTTGTATATTGCCACTATAAGCGATTCGTTCCAATTAGCCGGGACACTTCCTTCCAGATACATTCGAATAAGGAGGTCAGTGCTTTGCAGAGGACCTCACCTCCATCCTTAAATAGTGCAGGTGGGAGGGAATCCGGGCCAGCGGCACGAAAACGATTAAGGGCTGTGATCGCCTTTCGGACCTCGGCCTCCGACGGAGACTCTAAACTAACCGTCCATGGCTCGTCCTGCATTACCTGAGTAGGAAGAGGTCCGGGAGCAGGGGCCAGCTGAATTGATTTTGAGTGTTGCGACCAAGGAGCCATACGGCGCTCCTTATTGTGTATCAGCGCACCCGCGCTGTCTCTGATTGTCTCACTGACACCTGGTTTTCTGGGACCAGTGGTGCGGATTGGCTGGAAGAGCTTGCGTTAATTGCCTACTGCTCCTGCCTCCTCCATTTCTTGAGCCCTACTGGTCCACCGGGCTTCCTTGTCAGCACGTAGGCTCTGCTTTAGTTCACGGCTAATAGCCCGTCTGGTCACATTGTGTTCAGAGCCAGCCGGGAGGTTTCTTCTACATTCCAACAGGTTCTCCGACCTCTCGGATATCCAGTGATTGGTGCGGTGACGATGGACAGTGACCCACTACATCAGCCAAATAAAACGAAGCTCACCTCGGTAAGCGGTGACCGAGCGTGCGTAAAACGTGCCAAAGTCAAGGCAGCTTAATGAGCATTGTTTGTTGCTCTGAGGAATTAGCCAGATTATCACCGGCCAGTACTCACCTACGCGCATCATCGTTGCGGATACGCCGCTGCCATCCGACACCAGCAATGCTCTGTAAGTAGCGATGACCAAAGTCTTGAAGGCGCCTCAGATACTCAGACCGAAGAGGTCGTCTCACCCTCAAAGGGAAGGACAACACTCACTGTGGCCTCAGGTATACGTCACTAAGACAGAGGGAAACCCCGTTCCAATTCCACTGATGTCGCAGGTTCAAAAAGACTGTTTTAGCATTCGCAATACATGGACTAGTAACATTTGTTTGATAATTTGTGCGCATATCCCAAGATGGGTGTGACAGCAAATTATTAAGGCAGAGCAACATCCAAGCAAAATACAGAGACAGAAGTCCGAAAAAAAGGAATTCTATAAGCTGTGCTGAACCACGCATCCAGCTGACCAGTGGGTTTGTGTGTTATGTGTCAGCTGCAGATATGAGGATCCATGCACGTCATAAATCATTACCATTATTGAACATGCTAGCTAGAGGTGCGAAACACCTCAGCTATTGTGCCGCAATAAAATAGAAGAAGAGGAGAGAAAATGCGACAGGTGCAAGCCAGATGAGCTACCAGCAACGGATGGGCATCGTTCCGGAAAGCTACCAGCCGGCTACTATACAGCAAAAAAGTATTATACAAAGTTATATAAGGCTAAATAGTGGTTGGAGGGGGAGGCTAAGATGGAGAGAGTAGGACAAAGAAACTCAGCTAGAACGCCACTGAGGTCGGCTCCTAGCCATACCAACAAGTGTATCCAGTCAAACGTGTTCATCGTCTTTCGGAACCCAACCAGGGAGCCGAGACGCCCCAACTGAGGCCAGCCCAGAAGTGAGGGCCTTCATTCCTCTCGACTTAGTCATCGCCCCCCCCCGGCGCGCAAACAACGCACGTCGCGGGAGTCGGTGGGCTGGCATGCGTAACACGTGACCGAGACATCGGAGCCTGGTGCGTGAAATAACGGTGCTGAGCGGTTCATTTCCTTTTCCTGTGCCGTAAACAAGGAGTCAAACACGCACGTTGCTTCCTCGGTGTTCCCACCAGATGTGAGCTAAATTGCGAATGCACCGGTGGTCGAACGTAACGAGCCACTTTATGTCTGCTGATATAAGGTGCCAAGTTTCACAACCGTACAGTAGGGTCGAACGTACCGCTACATTGTACACTCTACCCTTCACGGCGAGAGCGAGGTCGCGCCGGCGCCGTAAGAGGTGAAGATTAGCAAAAACGCCTCGAGCTTTTGCTATACGGTTCGTGATCTCACCTTCAATCCAACCGGCACTGATACAACTTCCCAGGTAGTTGAATCGTTGAACAACTTCTAGCTGCTCCCCACCAAAAGTCAGCGAAGGAGGGGATCCAGGCCAATCTTGGAGGAACACTTTGCACTTCGAGGATGCAAAGCAAAGCCCGAAGTGACGGACAGCCAGTGCTAATCTATCCAGTGCCGCTTGGCACATTTGTGAGTTGTCACAGATTAGGGCAATATCGTCAGCATACTCCAACTCAAGATGTCGTTCTCCTAGGAGCAGATCCACACCTTCTAAGTCGTGTCCTGTAAACACGATTTCCACTACTTCGTCAATACCGAAGTTGAAGAGGAAAAATGACTGCGGGCATCCTTGTCTCATACCGCTGAAGATATTAAAGGGCGATGACAGCTTGCCGTAAGCCCTAAGTCTGCCCGAGCTACGCGCGTATAATAATCGGATAATATTTACATATTTCTCAGGTACACCTTTTCTAAGTAGACAGTCCCAAAGTGCACGTCTATCCACCGAATCGAATGCACCTTTGATATCGAGGAACACGACAACGGT